TTAAAACTTTAAACAGTGGAGCATCATCCTGCAGAAATACATTTTCTCTCCTAAATGCAGATGAYTTCTTTCTGTATTACATCCTGACAGAGGCATCTTAAAAAAAACTGCAGCAGTCCTGTTCCATATAATCTCAAATAATCCCAATYCTCACCTCCGTCTTGATGTGGATCTAAGTGGAAGTGATGTATCTTTATTAGCGAGTCAGCTACGATTTCATATCTTGTTAAATCTTTTATAATCTGCTTTTTCCTTCACATTCCCCAACTCTGAACATTTTGAACTTGTGCCAATAAYTTCAAGAGTTCAGCTTTTTATGGGTATTATAGCTGCCAATACTTACACTTTGATTCAGGGTGCACACCTCTTTTATAACAACTGATATCACATGAAATGATAAATCCATCAAAGGTTTGTGTTTACATTGTTTGACATTGAAATGGGTAAATAAAACAAAGTCTTGATATTTATTTTTTATACAAAAAAAACCCCCCAAACTTTTTATACTTCAGAGAATAAATTTCCTGTTGACTTCTGTTCCTGCATGAAATATCGCCTCCTTCTTGACTTTTGATTGGCTCAGTCAGACACCTGCACTGTGAACCCTCCTGACCTTTATGCTGAGTTTTACCATGGGAAAGTTAAGACCTAGATCAATTGTTCAAAATGTGTTTCTCCCCTACAGGAGGGCACCTGACAGGCTTAGAGGGGGAGCAGATGGGGGAGTGAAATAAAGCTCTATTCAAGCAAGCCCAGCTGACGCGGCTCTTAGTGGATCTCTCCCTCTTGGCAGAGTAGAATGGTTGCCCTACGGATGTCTTATTTTCGCCAGGAAACAGCAAAGGGAGCTGCGCTCTGTGCATACAAATCACTCTCAGACTCTGCTGAAACATGCTGCTCTCCAGAAAAGGAGCAAAAGAGGAGGTGAGCTTCTGCTGATGCTCTAATGGAGGAAGCGTGCAGAAATGTTGAGAGGTATGTAAGATGCAGCCAAGCTGAAGAGACAGTGGGCCGGACRCTTTGCAGAGCAGAGCTGTGAACTCTTCCTGCCACAGTGCCTGTTTTATCAGGCATCTTTAACAAACTCATTTTCTTTCCATAAGGACAAAAAAATAAAATAAAAACACAAGAACATTTGAAAACATTTATTTTTACYAACTTATTAGCACCTTAAAAGTGATTGTTCAGAGCTGTTGAAGCGGGGTTATGTGGACAAGATTCAAATATTTAATATCTTACCTGCTGTAGATGGTTGTTTGAACAACCTCAGTTAGGAGAAACAAAGTTGTTGTTTTTTGCAAACCTAACAAGTGAACAGCGAACAGTGTAAACACCTTCTTCCAATATTCTACCTAAAAGCCTAAGTGCTTGGGTGGGTCTCAGGGAGCGGGGGAGCCTACTGGGGCCAGTGGGGGAGCTGGCCCCCTGTGGGAGCTTTCTTGCTCCCTCAGTTTTTTCCTCCCCACCCCAAACCTCCACCCTCTTCATTTTTCAACTGCACTCACGTAGGGTTTTTGG